TCTTTCCAACCTTAATGATTCTATGATTGCGTTTTACCAGCAGGTCAGTCCCATGGGGTTAGTTCCTTTTCAAGAACATTAAATAAAGCCACAGAATGATGGAAAGGCCTGGAACAACAGGGCAGTGGCAGGGGGAAGAAGGAAGTTGAGGGTGCCCAATTCCAGTGGCCAATTTTTTAGTCTGTTTCCTCTCTGTCTGCTAACATTTGGGGCAGTGGAAAAGAGGAGAGTACACAGGAAACTGCTGCATTACTAGGAGAGCAGTCAGTCTGTATGTAGAGTTAGAAGAGAGGACTGTGCTGCGTGACAGATGGCTGAATAATAATTTATTCTCTTTGGAGGACAGTTATTCAGGTTCTGTGTAGTAAATTCCTGATTTGGAGTGTTTTGCTTTGCAAATGAGACATTCGCTGAAAGAACCTTGTTTCTTTCTCTGTTTAAACACCCATTTCCTTATGGAATACAAGCAGTGCAAATATGTTAGGAAAGCTTACAGAGGTCTGCTTTACAAACTAATTAAAAAAACGGTCTCTTTCAGCTTTAACTATTGTTGTGAATGAAATAATGTATTAGCAGGTCTTGGCAGGGCTCTAGAAGGACCAAGATACCATGAAATCATCACAGTAACTTTGTCAGAGAAGATCAGAAAGAAAAGAGTTCAGCCAAAGCGTTTCAGCAGCATTTTCACCAGGGTGACCAAAGGTCCCCTGAGAATATCTTTGCCACACGGGTACAGGAGGCTACAGCTGGGTCGGCATCACACCCATGTCCCAGACCCTGCATCCAGAGGAAGGAAGAGAGGCACTGTTACCCACTCTGCCTCAGCAGAAACCTAGGCTTGGAGATCCTCTTGAAGGCATGACAAAACAATCATTTGCCTCAGGCACGTACAAGAATTATTTTTAAAAAAATGCATAAGCAAAATTGTCAGGGCTGGCAGAACCAGGCTGCAAACTTATCTATTTAATCAGTGTTTAGGCAGCGTGGCAGCTCTACTCTACATTTCAATGAAAAAGCATTTCCAGCAGTCGACGTTAGCACTGCGCAGTGCTCACACGAAGCATTCTGTGGCTTTGGGCTAAAGGGCTTGCACTTTCTGGCAGAGAGTTGTGTCCAAACAAGCTTTGCTGCTGATAAATTTCCACTGGTAAACACTGGAATCTTACTGCATTTCAGGGGGCTAGGGTCCTTAGCACCAAAACCTGTTGTTATTTGGGGAACAGAGTTGTCCAAGAGTAGAAAATTTAAAAAAACCAAACTGTAGCCACTGACCGTACTCAGTTACTTTACCTAATGCTACACCCATGTACCTGATTCTGGCTGGTTTCAGAAGGAATTGAAGCTCAAATCCTGGAAAAGGAGCCAAGACTTAGGCTCCTAAATTAGTCAGGCACTTTGAAAATATTACCCCTTAGCCTTTAGAGTACTTAATATCATTTCCACAAAGCTGCTCATAACCCACAGTGGGATTAAAGTAATTAAAATATCATGGTACACAGCATTGGCAGGAAGATGTAGTCTCTCAGATCATGTTATTCATAAATAACTTAAGATGACTATAAAGTGAGTGATTATTAAATAGCATTGAGGCTTATATAGTCCAGATAATGGCCACAGTTACATTGCTTCATTAAATAAAACGTGACTGCACTTGTAAGTAGAAAAGACAAAAAGATAACACAACTACAGTTTCCAAGGGTCCAAATCACTAGTGTTGTTTTGTTGCCTAATGGTGGTTGTTTTACTGTGAGAGGTGCTTACTGAGACATTTCTCTTCAATAGGTTTCTGGGGGCTTGTCAACAATGCAGGAATATCAACATTTGGCGAGACAGGGTGGCTGTCTATGGAGAAATATGAAAAATTTGCAGATGTGAACCTCCTTGGGAGCATCAGGACAACCCTGGCATTTCTTCCCCTTCTAAGGAAATACAAGGGTAAAGCTAATCCACTGTTATTTAGAGTTGTAGAATAATTAGCTTAGTATAATCAGGGTAATGTAGGATCTATAAAAGAAGCCTTAATTGTCTCTTATTGAACTGAAATGACAGCCGCCTTCCGTGTGACCTGAAAGAGCAACTTGATCCTGAAAAGAGGGTAATGTTGTAAGGGGAAAAAAAACCCTTGAAGATTCTGTCTTTACAATACATAGAAAAAAGTATCTACAAATAAGGAATTTTCTCAGTGTTTGACTCAACAGAGAAAAAATGCTTACAGTAGATCATCAAACCAGGCAAGACTTTGTAAGCACTGACAGTCAGAAAACACAAAGATCCAATCGGCTCCTGCTTAACTTTATTATTTAGGCTTTACTGTTTTACTGTTTGGCAATTAGGAGAGGAAGGATAACCCTACAGAGGTGAACTAGAGACATACAGCTTCCAGTTCCAGGTCTATAAAGATCCTCTCTATGATCTTGGGCCGGAAACTTCAAGTATGTGGAAGAGTGCCGTACAGAGATGTGTGGGTATTGAATGGGATAAATGCATTTGCATGAACCTCCATACGCATGGGCTTTATCCTTTCTTCTGAGAAGAAATGGTTTAAACAGCCCTCTACAGCATTGCAGCACATCTCAATTGCTTTGCAGTTTGTTCCCTGCCTGTCCCCATCTGTATTTGGGAAAGAAAGATGCACTTTTCCTTTCTCCCCCTTTTGCCTATCTTGTCTAAGTTGTAAGTTCTTTAAGGTGAGGCTTTAAATACAGTGGAAGCCCCAGATGTCACACAAAATGTTGGGAAGAAAAAGCATCCGCTTTTTGGCTACTCTGCTTCTTTCTGCCTGGTTGCCTTTGGTTGATGATTTTCTGACACAAGAAAAAACAAACCTTTAAATACTGCAAGCTGGATGTGTTTTTGTAAGGTAATGTGCTATTGCATGTACCCAGTGAATGTGTTATGTAGCCATCACATTGGGAGACATTGCTTTTTTTCTGTGATGTCCTACTTCCTGATAAAACTCTGTGATACTGATCCACCAGAGTAATTTGTGTGACTTCGTGAATTGCAAGGGGTTACTTTGAAGTGAAAGGTCCTAATTGTGTGTATGATATTAAGCACATGCATAAACTTTGAGAAGATTTGGGTCTGGATGGCTGGACATACATAGTACCCTCATTCCAAGGAGCACTCTGTATCTCACTCCTGGCTATCAGTGCTGCCTTTATTAACTGCTCACACTCCACTTTTAAAGTCTCATCTATATAGGAGAGGACGCCAGGGCACTTCTAGAAACAGTCACAGGTTTCCTGTCTCCTTCCTTGCAGAAACAGCCAGGACAGCTAATGCTAATGTTTTGGGGGGCAGCAAGTGACCTTTTGAAATGAAAATCTTGAATTATGACTGTTAGAGCACTCTCTTGGGAAAGCCAGGTTTCAGTTACCTTGGGCAAAGAGAGATAAATGTGTGCCACATCCTGGGTCTGTGCCCCAAAATCACTTAGCTACTGGATAAAGGAGGCAGAGGTCATCCTAGCATCACTTACCCAGTAGCTGTGTTCTGAAGGAAGGGGCTTACTGACATTTTAGGATGAGCACCTGTTCGAAGAAAAACTTAGCAATTATTAATACTTGCAAAGGGAAGTATTGCCCTCCAGCCTAGAATTTAAGCATCTTACTCTGAGGGGAGCAACATTTCCTCATAACTTTTCCAGATGGCCAGGCCAGCTCATGTACCATCTTGATGAGCAAGCTGGCAGTTGTTCTCCTGTTATTGTATTTAAGATTTATCCCAGACACTGTGTAGGAAGGCAGGGAACCTAATTCAGAGTGACAGATTTCACTGCATTCCCACAATACCCTTTTGATATCCCACAAGCATGTACCATTTGGTCAGATCTGGGGCCCAGACGTTATCTGCATCTGTGGCAGCAATTGGAGTGTAAGTATGTTCTCTGTATTGTTAGCCATGAGGCCATCTTCTCTCTCACCTCTGGTATTTATATATCCACATTCACACATTTCTTACTCTACGGTATGACTATATGATAGAAGTTTACAAGTAAACAATGAAAATGAACCCCAGCCCAGTGCCTCAAATCAGACATCTCTGCTATTTAAAGCATGCCTGCACTAGGCAAGAGTTATGAAGGGGAAAAAAGCAGCACAGATGAGGGAAATCACAGCAAGGCAGTGTAAGGCTGCACACATTCTGTCAATTCACCCCTTTCTTTGCTAAAGCTGATCACTGTACAGTCTTTGACTTTATATGCACCCTTGTCAGCCAGGTCTCAGTGCAGAGACATCATTAGCACAGAAAAAATGAAATTAGTAGTCATGTATCCACCACAGGGAAAATCATCTGCTCTTCTCTGCAGTCCTTCTCCCATTACTAGTATTGTCTTTTACTATTTTTCAGTCTCTCTTTCATCCTGTCTCAGACTCAGAAGGAATAAGCAGCACATTGGGAATGTGCTATACTTTGTCTAGTCCAGCATCTGTCACTAGATGGAAGGAAGATTTTTGTGTGAAGTTGTCTGCTTAACAGAGCTGAATGCACTTCAGTGCTGGGACTGCACACTTACACAGCCCAGCTTTGGCATACTACGTAGTAAAACAGCATCAAACTAAATATGACTTTATTAGCCATTCAGAAGACTCAGGTAAATCAATTCTATGTTAAAGACTGAGAGTGAAGTTATGTTATTTGCACTATTTTCTTTCCAGGACGCATTGTTTTCATGTCCAGCATTGTTGCCTATTTTTCTCTGGGAAATGGCATTTATTCTATGACCAAGGCGGCTATTGAAAAATTTTGTGATGCTCTAAGACTGGAAATGAAGAAGTTTGGTGTCCAGGTAAGTGATGCAAGAAGTAGCTGTTGTATGAAACTCCCTGCTATTTCTAAAATTGATTTTCATAAGAGGGAAGTTTCACTCCTGAAACTTCCTACAGAGTTGAAATGCATCTTTTTGTGGGGAAAGCAGCAAGTGACTTGCACAAACAACACCAGACAACGGTGTGGGGGTGGAAATTTTGGCCAAGGGAAGAAGAACAAGCATATGCAAAATAATATTTAATGTTGTGCAAAGTAAGCTCCTTGCATGCAAATGACAAAGATCAGGGCTGAATCCATGGTGCAGCTTCTCCTTGGAAAGAGCTGGTTTCTATGTGGCTATCAGTCAGCTGGCAATCACTGAGAACAGTGGACGGGGGGATGTTTGCAGCTCTGAGAAGCTGTAGGATAGCATGTCTTCTCTTTGTGCCAGCTTCCACACTTTCTCCACATACTTCACAGGGGAGAAACTTTCAGAGGCCTGGCTGCCTGTGTAGTGCCATGCCCTGTGAACAGTACCAAGTAACCGAGATGTTCTCTGGGGGGGGCTGTGGGAGCAAAGAGCCCAGGCGTTCAGTGCCATGCAGCAAGAAGGAAGGCTTGTCACCTACCTGAGGGGTTCTTTCTGTCTCTTCTCTCACAACATCAGTGCTTAAAAGCTCCTTCTTTTTTGTGGGAACAGCTACACTGCAAGAGGCAGTATCATGCAGAGTCATTATGTTTTTATTCTCTTAACCTAAGAGGCCCTAAGAGTGCTCTTAGTGCTCTAAGAGGCTGTAAACACTGATAGTTAAACTTGAACCTTAGATCACTAAGTAGCTTCACTAGGCTTTTCTTTGGAGTCACTCCACTGCTGAAACACTCTTCTCGAACACTAGAAGTCTTCCCTAGAGGACTTACATTGGTGTACTCTTTACATACACAGATTTACAGCACTGTTCATAAGCTTTGTGTGGGATGAAATTACAGCTATGCATCTATTAACTACCCCTCTTGAATAAATATAAGATGCTATAAAATGCAAGTGATTTTACTCATCCTAATACCACACAGCATGCTGAGGATTTCACCCAATTAGCTGAGGATAATCTCAAATCCATGGAAGAGCTTAGTTTAACACGTTAGCTACTCTGGTTGTTTTGGGATTTTTACTGTTTCCACAACCCTGAAATAGCCCCAGCACCACAGTACAGTGAGCCAGGCTGACAAACATTTCTGGATTATCTAGGAGAGTTATTTTTCTGTTTCTGACTGTATGATTCCTATTGGCATTAGTTTGGCTAATACCAAACACTTTTGAAAATAACACCCAAAGGGAGGGCTCCCAAAGATGCCCTGTGACAAACCTACCCGAGGCAGCACAAGATGCCCCCAGCTCTGCATGCTGTCTGTCTGCTGGAGCTTAGCCACATCCCTTCTTGCTCTCCATATATAGCTCCCACGCCTCAAGCCCTCCAGTATGCAGTGTGCCCGTTGCTGTGCAGGCCAGGAGGCAGGCACCAGCCAGCACTGATGTACAGGTGGTAGCCTCTGGTCGATGGGCTGGGTGCCAGATTGGAGGCATTAAGGTTTTATATGACCACAGGCTTTCCAGAGAACGCCTGTCAGATCCCCGAGTCTCTTACACAGCTCAGCACCATTTTTCCTCACCTTGCGTTGTAGTCTTTAGAAACCACGACAGTTAAACGCCATGGAGTTTTTAATGTTGCATATCTACAAATAGTTTTAACAAGCCCACTGCTAACCGAGGAAAAGCACACATACCGTGAGTGCTCAGCCTGCTCTGAAATTCTCCAGAAGTCTCAGAAGTTAGAACAGCAGCAACAACACATGCAAAGAAAACAGGTGGAGCAGCAAAGGGTTTCTTTGCTTTCCGTTTAAATATACACGCACAGAAATCTACATACATTTGCTAACGACTTCAGCAAGAGCTAGACCAGGACCTTTGGTCCCCTCTGCACTTGGCTGACAATACCTATTTTCCTTTTTATTACACCTACTTGGGGAAAACAGCAATTCTTTCCCCAGGACCTTCTAATTTTCTTTGACATCTCCTTCTGTCCCAAACTTGGGCAAAAATTACCAATTGCAAGATTTGCCACTGAGTGAAAAATCCAAAGTATTCCACTTTGGAGACATCAAAGTCATACTGAAATGCTTTGTCTCAGTATTGTCAAAACTTTTATACAATTAAGCATTCTATAAAAATCAAAGATGCACTCTTGCATTCTGTGAAGGTACGCTGAGTAGTCAAAACAAGAACATTAACATCAGAGTGAAATTAGGAAGCCAGAATAAAGCACCTCTGCAATCTTAACCGTTTCATGGGAATATATTTGATTTCAGTGAAGTTTTCAAGGCTGAAATTTCAATAAAGCATTTTCTGGAAGAATTCTGTCTGCAGAAAGCTTTTAATCTGTTTTACTGACTATAGTATTTAACTGAACTCAGAATGACTGATTGCATCTTGATAAGTTTTCCATCTTGCTTTTAGGTCTGCATTATTCAGCCAGGAAATTATGCACGCTCTACAAAAATTCAGCCACCAGTCAGTGCCGAAGAGATTTGGAATGAACTCAGCGAAGAGGAAAAGGCAGTTTACAATAAGGAGTATGTTCAAGAGCGAGCAAACTTTTTCAACAACATTCTCAGTGAAGGAAGCACTAACGGCAATGAGGTTGTAGATGCTATGGTAGATGCTTTAACATCTCCTGCACCCAAGGCACGTTACATGGTAGCAAAGCTGAAGGAAAAAGCACTGGTGCTTGTGTGTGCTTTATTCCCAACCGTTGTGATGGATTCCGTTTTGTCGTTTGCTCTGAGTAAAGTAAAACTTGCATAACCTGTGTCAGTATTTCTCAGTGACTCAGGGTTTTTAAAATGTGAAAGCCAGGGCTGAATCTAATGTCCCCAGACATCAGAATAATGACACCAATTAACTGATACAAACTTCAGAGGGTCTCCCTAGTCAGCACTGTCACATTTTCATAGGGGAAAACATACAGGACCCCATGCAAAATTAACAGAATTTTCTAGGTAGCTTTATTTCTTCCACTTGGAAAAAAAATACAGCTGCTTATGCTGCTTTAGGTATTGCCCAAAAGATTTAATGCAGCTTTTTCTAATGTAATACCAGGCTACTGTGTTATAGACACGACAGAGACAAAACGGAGCAACTGCACATCTGAAATCATTACAGCAGACATGAAAATACCTTATTTGTAGGAACTTGAGTAGAAATTTATTAGGGGTGATGGGAAGAGGTCAATGGAAAAGTTAGGAATGAGCAATAGACCTTGAAATACTTTGAATGGAATTAAGTGGCTGTAGAAAGTTAGGAAGAGTTGAATATTAAAGTTGCAATATGGAAACAGTGTCTTGGCTAACTACAGCTCAGCACTTTTTCAGGTATTACAGATAAATCTGTAACAAAGCCAGTATGTCACTGGAAAACAAATAGCATTTTCCATTTACAAATGAGTATTCAATCCTAAATAAACTCTTTTATCTAATGTCTGGATTAATCAATGCATCGACCTAAAATGTATGAATGTCTCTCTGGAGACATTCAAAGACCGCCTGGATGCGTTCCTGTGTGATCTGATCTAGGTGTTCCTGCTCCGGCAGGGGGATTGGACTAGATGATCTTTCGAGGTCCCTTCCAATCTCTAACATTCTGTGATTCTGTGATTCTGTATTCAGAGAGCTAAACACCAAGGTGACAGATATCAGTATGCACTAGCAGCCTGTAGCTTAGAAAGAACAATATTCAGCCTGGAGCTCTGTTTTTGCTACTATTATAGGGAATAAGGTCTGATTAAAAAAATATCTATTAACGTGAACACGAAAACTTTAGTAATATGTACCTATGACAGTAATTGAGCACAGTGGCTTCATTAGCAGTTTCCTACTAACTGTGGTGGAAGAGATTGCTGGTTTACACATACACAGTCTTAAATCTGGCTTGGTTGTGGCATGGCACAAAATCCAAGAATTCCGGGACCAAAAGATCCCAGAATGGCTGGGATCAACTGTGGTGACACTGGTGGATACAGGACAGCAGCATGGAGCATTAGCCTCTCCCATGCCAGGTATCTGATATCAAACCTTAGTTTCCTTAGTTAACTTTTTGATTTGAACCAGAAGTTGCATCCTATACCTGGAAAGTCTTTCCTAATATATTTATTTACTGAAAAAAGTCACTCTCTTTTGTGGTGGGTAATTGGACAATCTGAGTCAAGAACATACGTGAGATGAGCAAAGAGATTAACTCTGACTCTTCCAGGTCCTCTCCTGATACACTCAGCAGTGGAACAGCCATCTTACTGCACCTCTTTTAGGTTGTGGAACATCTTACTTCTCTTTCCAAATGCTGGGCCCATCCCTGGAGCTGCCAGCGGTAAGAGGACAAGCCAGGGCTCCTACCTCTTCCCCTGCCCATCAACAGCAAGATTATCAGATGATTACCATCCACTCTCCTCATTTAACCCCAAACAAGGGAACAGGAACAAGGCTTACTTCATCTGAACCAATTTATGTCTTGTATAGGAATAACCCTGCTTGACCTCGGATTTCAGCAGCCTTACATTGCTTTGGAAGAGTTGCTTTCAACCTCTTAGCTGTTCTTTGTGGAGATTACCCTCCCTTACAGTAAGTAGGCAGTGAACTCAACAAGCAGCTTTCAAATCCAAGTATTTCTCCATCAGGCCCAGGACACATGCTTCTCTCTGCCTCAGAGACAATGGTGCTTTCCATTACACGGTCTCTCTTCTATTTGCATTTCTAAAAGCTAAAGCAATAAGTTGTTGCTGAGAGCCAGGACCACCAGAAGAGCTGCCTTCCACATACCGACAACATAAAGTACTTCCAACAGAAAATTCCTTCTGTATTTGCTGTGTGTATGGTGAAGCGTGCAATCAACATTTCAGTAGGCTCGTGTAACATCAGATGAGCAACACTCTAGAACATTTATTCCTTGGTCTTGAAAACAAAGAACTTGAAGTGTGTAGTATCTCACGTGGGATACAGTGACAGGCCAACTGAGAACAGATGGGACAAATGAAGGCAGTTTGTATTTTCATTGCTGTCTAAGCTATCAGTGTGGAAGCTAATTGAAAAATAGCTACAAAATTATTATCTTTCGTCTTCTCCCTCAGCTTTTATAATATTATGATCTGCATATAAAGAACTAATCAAGAGAGAGTCAGAGCTTCAGTTATTAACAGGCCTGATGCACTCCCACTGAAAGTCATCTGGAATTCTCCCACTCAGTTATATGGGCTCTAAGACACAGCATTAGACAAGTAAACCTAAAAACAGTAGCAGGAGTTTGATTTCAGAGTCCCTGGGCTTAATGGGAAAGAGACCTTCATAAGAAATAATGATGAAAGGGGTGCAGCACTCCCTCCTCCACAGGCCTTGTAGGGTACAGATGTTGCAGGACTAATAACAGCTTTTAGTGAACAAATATTGCTAATCAAGTCAGTTACAAACTCCAAGGATGCCCAGAGCTGTCAGCTTGTCACCCAAAGCCCTGCCCACCTACATGTCACTGGAAAGCTCACCAGACTGTAGGGTTCCCAGCCCTTATCCTGGGCCACATGGTACCTGGGGAGCACATGCTGGTAAGTGCACAGTTTCTGGACTGCCCCACCATCCCTTTTGTTACTTTGCCACATCGCTGGGTGAGGAGTGCCTCCCTCTTACCCAGTAACTCTGAAATCACCTTTACCTCATGCCAAGTTAAAGTGCTGACGTATCCAAGAAGCCTGTATTTACAACATCTAAAACAAGCAACAGTTACAGTGTTTTAAAAAAAACTTAGGTGACAAAAGAAAAAAATATGGACACTACTCTTAAATCTGAAATACTCCTCTCCCTACACTCAGCTAACCGGCTGCAGATGCTTTCCTGGGTTTATTTTTCTATATAGCATTCATCTCAGATTGCATTCAACAGAGAACTTCTTGGGAGAAGGCATGAACTTTTATCACTACTCATCTTTTACGAGCCCTGCTGACAGTTTGGGGAAAATTTAATTTTTCCCTTGAAAACAACCACCACAAAACAGACACAGCTTTCCTCCCAAGTCTCTTCTCCAAGGACACGGTATCAGGGACCTAACAATGTATATAAAAAGACACAATACCACTGTGGGTTACGGAGCACTCTACTAGCTGTATGAACTCACACATGGATTTTACAGAGGTTTGGTCAGCAGGTAAATTCCTGACATTGTGGGGCTTTCTTACTAAGCACTTACATTGGTTATTTCATGGATTTTCTCTTCTATGCAAGGGCTTATTCCTAAGAGAACATATTAAGTGGCTAAAAGAATGAGTATTGATTTTGACAGCCATTACAGAAAGAATATGAAGAAGAGCAAAAAAGTCAAGCTATACGAGTTCGGTAAGTTGTCCATCGCTCTGAGCGTTATTAATAGCTTCACACAGTATCATCAAAAAAGACACAGAGTGGAGCCCAGGAAATACACATACAATACAAAGAAGAGCAGAGTATTACCTACCAGCATAGTTCTGAGGTGGTTGTGCTGCTGCATGAAACAAAGACAATCTCCAGAATGTAATTGTTCCTTCCAGAAAGAGACATTAGATATTAGGGGAATACCTAACTTGAGAGGCCACAGTTTGAGAAACACCCCTACAGCTCCCCAGCCCAGGCCGTGGGCTGTTCTGCCAGGCAGAAGAGCTGAACCTCTGCACTCGTGGTCAGCATTGCTGTGGGCATCACCACCAGTCACACACGCACCCCCTGAGCAGCCGCAGCAGCACTTTGCTCCCACCGCAGTGTTACAGATGGGCTAGGCAGAGAGTTTTATTGACACTTATCAATATTAACACCCTGATTTGATCTCATGCTCCCTGAGTGTAACTTGCAGCCAGCCAAAACAGTCCTGACAACCCTTGCAATAAGCCAAATGTGTAAGTTTGTGTCATTCTCCCAGACTGGCAAAACTGAAGGAAGAGATTTTGAGTGTAATGCACCATGCAGCAGATTTTCTGCAGTAGCATCAGAATCTGGAGAGGTGAGTAACAGTAATAGTTACATGCACAGTAAAAGGCTTAAGTAAAAACCATGCAATCCCCAGGCACGTCTTCCAGCTGAAGTCAGGCTATCATCTAGCCCAGCTCCCTCTGATGTCAGCAGGACTCTCGTGCCAACCAGCACGAGTCCCTATGACGCACAGCTTCCTTCCAGAGGTCCGCTGTGGGACATTTGTGGCATCCTTATGCTTTCACATCAACAGATAAAACCCAGCATAATTCAAAGACAGCAAGTGAAACAGGATGACAGCTATATTATTCCACCTGTTCTGTACAGGGATTGTGCAGTGCTGTCAGTCTGGCACATTCTGCTAGCACCAAACAAAACTCCACAGCCTTTATATTCCAAACAGTTTGAAGCAGCTGCTCAGCAGTGAAATCTTTTCATGTGTAATTAGACCATTTTGGAGCTGTAAAGTGAGCATATCAGTAATGGGGGCTTCACCTATCACGGTGAAGCAGGTATGTTGTAGGAACAATTGAGGTTAATGTTTAAGAGTGTGCAAAAAAATACATGCTCCTCAGTGATAAACGTTCTTTGGAATAATTCTCTGTTAGGAAATACTTTACTACTTTTTATCTCATTATCAGATGCTGACACAGTAGGCAAAATATGTCTGCTATGGACTCCACAGACTGCATTCATTCAGGTAACTATGAAGGCAGTGTAACACTGTCCCAAGAGCAGACATTGCTCCTTCCTGTGGGCCACTAGAGATGTCCCGGTGTGGGAGTGTGTCCCTATGTACGTGCTTAGAGCATCCAGGACGCAGCAGCC